CAGGGCCTCTGGTGCGGGTTTGGTTCTACTTTCCTTCCCTGTCTACGCGCAAGAAGCGGGATGACCTGGTGCATCACGCGGCAGGTTATGGGCTCACTGGATTTGTGTTGGCGGGCAAACCAGGCGTGTTGTGCCTGGAGGGAACATCGCAGAATATCGATGCGTACATGAGTTTCATCAAAACCCATTCTTGGGGGGATATTCCCAGTCACCAGAAAAAAGTCAGCGAACGATTTCGCGAGACGGAAGGGGTGCAGCGGGTGTTTGAGGGGATGGAGGAGATCACGGATTCCCTGGGGGAACGCAGCGGGCAACGAGCCAACCGGGGGGATATGCAGGCCTTGGAGGCGTGGCTGCAAGCCCGCGGGTTGCAGCATGCCTTTGAGCAGGTGATCTTTTAGACATCAAACTATGAATGTAATTACGACTACTTATTCAGCTATCCCCCATATCGTTCGTCTCTGTGTAAGCAGCCAGCCGGCCGCCGTCGTGGCTATACGCCTCGGACTTGGAAGCCGAAAGTATTGTCCAATAAATGCGATGATCTTGTCAGCTGCAATTGATATCGTTTTCATTCTACTATCTCTTATATCTCTACAGCTGTATAGCATTATGGACATGCCTCAGCCCTCCCCCGCCGCTGACGACGTTTTGCGGGAGCCCTTCGGGGACCCCGTCGCATCACGGCCTGCGTGGCATGCCGCAAGCAGATGGTATACCATCGTTACTATCTTGGCCTTTCATCTCCGCATTGACTTCCAACCATTAAGAAAAGCGTTCTGTCCGTAATGGCATAGATGGAATTTTAGATGAATAATCGGCACATTCCGTGCCACCCGGTGTCGGAAGCGTGGCTTGCCCTGCACCGTCATCCGCAGTCTCCAAATGTTGCTCGAAAACGATGCTGTATTGTTGGAGAGGAAGTAGACAAGTTGAATTGACTGAATTATCTCATGGAAAACTATCTATCATATGCTATTATGCCACTATTCGTGGTGTTCCGCACTCGAGAATCACCTGGCAAAGGAAATGCATCCCTAGCGCAGGCAACCAATAATGGTGCTATCAATCATCTGGGGACATTTCAGACACCGATATTTCCTGTCTTGACTCCAAAACAACTCTAGGCGTATGTGTATATCATTACAGTTCTTATATATATGACATGGCATCTTGAATAAAGCAGCGCAAGAAAATTGAACAAAAAATCCACTTTGGGTATCCTTGTACGCATATACCCCGTCGCCACAACACCACCATCATTCCTCATTGATGACCAGCAGGCTCGCTACACACCTCTAGCAGCGCTTTCAATGCCGTCCGAATATCCGAACCACTGTAGGAAATACCGACTATGTCGCCTGCCTTTCCACCTGTGTCTGGGAGATCCTCGTAGACACAACGCTCAAGTTCAAACATGTTCTTCTGCTCCGGAGGCAAGTCCTGCATTGGCGTAAAAGACAACATACCAGAAGGTCCATGGATCATGCTCAAGTCAATGGTAGTCAGACATGGAAATAGGTCACGATGTTGACAGAGGTACGTTAGCCACTGCGGCGTCAAGCTCGTCACTGACCGCAGACTAAGCTTCTTCAGATTTGTTCGCGAGTTACAAAGGAGCCGAACGAGATCTTCAGCTTGCATCGAAGTTCCCCAGACACTGATCCGTTCCAGGTGATCTAGAGCTGCAATGGACGCACTCAATTGTGAAAAGAACTCGACGGCGAGATCGGAGTATCCGAGGCCAAGATGTAGTTTGCGGAGACCAGTCGCACTGAGGATCATGTCCATCACGAAAGTATAGTTCTGGGGGGTCAGCTCCTGCTCTAGGTGCAGGTTGTCCAAGGACTTCCAGCCCGTCCGGAAGGCGGCATTGCTATAGAGTGACTTTGGGAGACGCGCAATGTCCATGACTTTGGAGGTGTAATTCATGCCCTTGCCATACCAAAAGAGTTTAACCGGAAGAGAGGCGTCCGCGATGAGGTCAAGGAGGATGCATGCGACATCGTCAGGATTGAAGGTCGGGCTGTGGTGGAGGTCCGCCTTATTTTGGGGTTCTGACAGAATGGGCGATAGGATAAAAGATCGGCAGTTCACCAATTTCTGTGTCAGATCATCCCGCAGCCGCCGGATTAAGGGCATGTCTAGGGGACATCGGAGGTGGCCAGCAGCCGTCCAGTGCCAGTCCATGTTCTCCCCAAGTCTCGGCTCCGGACTCAGGATTACCAAGTGTTGAATATAGCCTCGTATCAGATGGTTCTCGGCCAGCGCATGCAAGTGGTTTAAAGAGTGTGCGGAGAAGTCTGTGTAGTACTCCGCATACCGTTGCGCAAAACACCGGTTGGTGAGGTGATGGGCGGCGCGGCAAGTCCCTCGGAGCGCGGCCAAATCTTGCGTTGCAAGCTCGTGGCAAATCCTCTCAACCATCTCCAACGGAAGAGTAGATAAACGGGAAGGCTTGCACATCATCTGCTCTGAAATGGACTCTAACATTGTGTTTTTCTTTGGGGCACAAGGAGAAAGGGCCACGGCCAGGCGCGGTCGCGTATGCTTTAAAGGGAGCGAGATGGATGCAACAGGGTCCTTGGAAGTACCTTGGAGGCACACGGCGATCATTGAAGCGTCGCAACCACCATCTACCTTGACCCCACACCCAGAAGAGAAAAAGTATCATCCTCGCGTGGGAATCGTTCATACCACTATAAAATGAGCAAAAGGCCCAGGGAAAAAGTGACTCTAGAGGTGTGTAGCGACACTTCTGGTTCCCTAACATACTATGTGGTTTAGCATTGAGCCTGCCAGCACTTCATAAACAACCCTCTATCAACTGAAGTGTATCCAACATCACTATCAATTAATTAATAAAGTGATGGGCGCCGAGCATGTGCATCAATAACTTACCTGTGACACTAAATGTATCCCGAACAAACGTGGAGTTGCTGTTCCAAATTTGTCGCTGGCGGGGTTCATCCCAGTGAAGCGTGGTGGGTGATGCAACATGGGGGCTGATTTGTCCAGTCGAATAATCTCCAGGCTGGAAGCGTGATCACCAAGGAACCATTCACCCCAAGCAGAAGGTCGAACGAGTTGGTTGGCAGGGCTGAGAAAGCTTGATTGCGGGGCTGAAGTCAGCACTGACTCCAAGCAGACGCGAAAGTGTACTAGCGGTTGCAAATATATCCACGTTCCGGCCGAACGAGGCTAAAGAATCTGAGTGCTGCTTAGCTACAGTTCGTGTCCTTAGGGGGACATTCTTATTCAACAATAGTATCTCACATATATTTTGCAGCAGCACGGGGAGAACCTAAGTACAGACAATCGATGAGGAGTAAGCCGAGCTACTGGAAAATCGAAGTCATTTGTGATATTGTGGTACCTAAACGCCATCACTGCGTCCCAACATCGGCGCTGAAGGTGTTGAATTGTTGTAGAATGGAGATGTATTAGAATTAGATACAGCGATGCGCACATGAGCAGGGGGAATTGGTCCTTTGTTCCTTGTCCCCCACAGACCCTAAGCCAATAAGGGGTGACCCTGTCATGCCCTGGAACTGTTCGCTTTTGGCTAGTCTGAACTACCGCAGTCAGCCTTGCCAGTGTGGCCTAAACGCGACCATCTATAGAGAATATCACATATTTCGTCTTCCTCTTCTAAAGCTGCCAGATCAAGCGGCTTACTACCTTGGGCGTCTTCCACGCCGGGGTTTGCACCATGCTCCAGGAGCCAGTTCACGGCCGGGAGATTTCCTTGATAGCTGCCCGCATGAAGGGGAGTGCCGCCGAAATGTAGGAATGCAGGATAGCCAAATTCATTCACGTTGGCCCCACGCTGTAGCAGGTGCTCCATGATTGGTATGGCTCGTCCATCCTTCCTACATGCAGCATAATGCAACACATTACTGGTGCGGATATTGGCACCGTGTTCAAGAATGAGGTCAACAATCACTGGGCTACTTCGACGGGACGCCATACCAAGGACTGCCCCCGAGCCCTTCGTAGGAGACCGATCAGGCTTTTCAAGATCATTGAATGACTGGGCATTCGGGCAGCCGAAGGTGGGGTCGGCACCTTGTTCAAGGCACCAGTGAACGAGCTGTTGGTCGTTCTTCTTCACAATGTGTCTATTCTTTTGGTTAGTCCATGTGATCACCAACAGGCAAGCAAAGGATACCCACACAAGTGGCACTGTATTAAGGGGGTGTAGCCGAGTCTCAAAAGTGAGACCGTGGTCTAGCAAGGCCTTGACTGCCTCAGCCGAGTGTACTCCATCCACGACGCTGGGAGACTGGGGCTTGGCGCCAGCGTTTAGTAGATGGCGCATAGTGTCGATATGATCGCCCTGGGCAGCTTCCCTCAAGCCCATAGTCAGTACCTCTCGGTCCAGAGCTTTGGCCTCCTGATGTTTCTTAACTTGGGCCAAGTCACCGTAACGGCAGCTCTTCAGGAAGGGCTGATTAGCCTCCTTCAGAACCTGAAATGGAAGTGACATTGTGCGTGATGAAACAAATGGAACTGATTCTTGAAAGGATGATGAGGATGGTGAGGGGGTGAGGCTTGTTGGGTTTGTCAAATCCGTGAGCGGCGGCCGATGAAGGCCCCGGGGGCGGTGGATGTTGCGGTGGAGAAGCTAGGCGTGGGGGCTGCAGCGGCTACAGCCATCGGTTTCTCGGCATGGTGAGCAAAGATTCCAGGCTAGATGTGGTTAAGCATGCTTCCGGGGGCCAAAGAGCAATGTAGACCATGTCGCTGGTCGAGTGGCCTGTCAGTTTAATGAAGACTTGGTGGTCCACTTCCTACGCTGCATCTCAAAGTGTGACGCCAGGTCTTCCTTCCACCGAATCCGCACCCCTCTCGTGGGGATAGGAAATGCATAGTTAAATGTGGTATCTGCGTGTAGAATCCCGCGCGTACAGACGGCACCATATCAAGATATAGAAAGCAAATTCTTCCAGGCAGTGGCCCACTACACAACAACAGTCATTCATTCCTAATCTTCTACAATGGTGGTTGGCTTGAAACAGGCTTTGCTTCTTGCCCTGTGGGCTAGTGGAGTTATTGCTGGCTCCGGTTCCGTCGAGCAAAATGGCAGCGCCCTGGGAGCCTCTGCTCCTACTATAAAATCAGTTACTTTTGCTGTGGAGAACATTCCGTCCTTCTACGCGGCGGAACCTCCGGCAGTGGCGGTTGGCAATGGCGATGACAACAGTTAGGAGGCTGAGGACGACGGTGAGATCTCAATTGCAGTGGATGTCAATAAGCTGCACCTTCGCAGCCACAAGGGAAGCAGTAGTCATGGCAAAGGAGGTCATAATCATCACTCGAAAAAGACCAAGACGAAAACGAAAACGAAAAAGAAGACCACCAAGACAACCAAAGCCACCACGAAGGAGACCATCTCGACTACTACCACGACCAAGGCGCACAAAACCACCACTACCACAACGAAACAGAAGCCTACTACTAGTACCAAGGCAAATGAGGCCTCGAGAAGTGAGCAGTCTGCCACCCCGAAGCCGGCCGATTCCACCTCGAAAACACCAAGGTTTACATTGGAACCCCTTTAGCCCGGACGGGTAAACAGGCTCCACGGTATCCAGAGCAAGTCGCTGCGCAGGTCAACTCGGTTCTGGGCTTGTCAGCGGAACCTGCGGAATATGACTACGATTCGATCAAGTCCAAAGAGAACAGCGATGAGGCCATGAGCAGCGACATCACCTATGGTGAGGGTAGATTTCTCTTCCAATATCACGGCAGCTGTGCGAGTCCCACCTGGCAGGTCTGGTATGGGGGCAAGGCCAGTGGCCCCAGCTGGGAAGCTTTGCAAGGCAGTGCGCAGAAGCGGTCGGATTCATGCTCTGTGTTGTCTTCGGCCACCCCGGCCACTGCCACAGCAAAGCTCTGAGCGTATCCACGCTTTCCAACGTGCTTGGATCTGCTGTTGAGACATCCGAGGGGGTTGGAACAAGAAAGATAGCCAGCCGATCGTATTGTACCGCATTGACTGTACCATAGTATCTTAGTAGTCAAATTTGTTACCCTTCACACTCGACATGATAATATACTTGAGATTTTATTTGACTAATGATCCAGTGAATAACTATTCACATCTATTCTAGTCGTAGAGGAGATAAAGTTCCGAAATGTGAAGAGGACAATAAATCGAAAGAGTGGAGATGGAGAGATTCTGACTCAATGTGACTGCGCCAAGACAGCCGGTGCGCCGTGCTGATTCCATTGGTGGACATCCTGAAGTTCTGAAGGGCAAAGGGGAGAGACCCTTCGATTACTATCTCAATTCGTTTTGGCTCACGGCACAACTGCCGGGGACCAAAGCAGTGCAGTGTCTGTCATCCGTGCTATCTCAGGTCGGGAGCGATTGATATTACGCAGCACTATATTCGCCAGAATGATAGCCAACCTAGCCATCGTAGTGGTCTTCAGCATTGGTCTGATGACTCTGCTATACATAATCACCCAGCATCAGCCCAGCAGACGAGCAGAAACTGATGAGAAGCGGCCACCTCTCAAGCTCCCGCTTATCGGTGATCTTCATGACTCTCCGATCGATAAACCCCTCGCCAACTGCGACGACTAGGCGCGATAAAAAGGGCCCATCACCGTTTCCAGGCTATTTGGGATCGTCCCAGTCGTGATACTCAACTCTTACGAGGCGGTCACTGGATTGTTCAGTCGCCGCAGCCAGTGGTATAGCAACCGGCCGCGTTCGGCGACGATGGAGATGATTACCGGAGCAGAGCCCGGACCGTCTCGATTCACTCTGATGCATGACAATGATGATCACCTCAGGCTGCATCACAGACTGCTAGCTCCCAGTCTCGGGGCCCTCGCGGCGCCGAGATATCAGCCGTTAATGGGACTAGAGAACAAACAGTTGCTCTGTGACCTGTCTGATGCTCTCCACGGATGTCCTGATGGTGCCACCATCAGCACCGCAACAACCTATCCCCACTTGGAACGCACCCAGTCAAGTATTATTCTAGGGTTACATTATGGCTTGCGAATCCTCCACCCCGAAGACGAACTTCTGCAGGAGATTATCGGCACTCAGGCCCAAGTGACCCATCTGGCTGCTAATCCCGGCCTACCAGACCTTATTCCAACCTTGCACCAACTGCCTGAATTCCGTTCTCCCTGAAACGTGCCGCCGATGAGCTCTTCGCAACCCAATCAGACCTCTACATGCGTCTATTTCATCGGGGGAGGGACTCAGACAGCTGGAACGCCACAAAGCAAGCCCTTGCAACGGCCGAGAAGTACACGGCGGTACCAGATCTGGACCTTGCGTTCACTCTGGCCAATCTATCCAAGGTGGGATGAAGACTTCTTCCCGTCAACGCAGAGGCTCAGCTACGGTCCGACCTCCCGCTGCCCGTGTTTGGGCAGGATCGACGCATCTGCCAGGGCAAGAGAATTGCTACAGATGGGGCCTTTCTGCAGGTAGCCAACTTGTTGTGGGCGTTTGATATCATGCCCGTGGAAGGGAAAGAGATGGATCCATGGGCCATGACTGTCGTGGGTTTCATGACGCCCGCAAGGAGCTGAGGATGCGGCTGAAGCCTCGCGGTGACTGGATGCTGGAGGCCGTCAAACGGGGACCTAAGATCGCGGCGGAGGACTTGGATCAAGTGATAGGGTCTGTCAACGATGTGGAGAGGTAAGCGGATACAGTATTGATTGCTGTTGGTGTTAAGAGGTAATGTCGGTTGAAGGACTGATGGGCACAGGTTAAGGTATAGTCTAACGGTACGGCGTGAAAGCACAGTCTAACAACATGGTAGATGAGTCAGAGAAACTTTAAATTAGAGGAAAGTAAGAATAAAGTTGGCTATGAAAGTAAGCTTGAAACTGTAATTTTCTTGTTGTGAGTTTGGATTTAAAGATGCGGCCCGGTCGCCGAATAGAAAAAGCAAAGGGGCAAAAACAGACATAGTTTTGTAGAAGAACGAAAAGCAGAGAAGAAAGAAAACAAGGCAGCCCGCCAAGTCAGCTTAAGATTACCAATAAGGCTTATCAATGAGATAGACAAGGCAGAGGATCATGATTGTTGTTTGTATGTTCCACAAGCAGGGAATCATTATATTTTATTATTATCTCCAGTCATAGACCAGGGATTGCCGACCGCGGCCTGATTCTCCGCATTTCCGACCGGTCCAGCGACTGGAGAGAGCAGCCTCTCGTTGTCCGGGATAAGACCCTACACAGTCTCGTTGCAGTCAAAGATGAACGATAAGTACTGATGAGGGAGACCTCCCGTGGCTATAATAACAGGGAATTATACATTCACGGATGAAGTCAGTCCTCCGTCATCCTCGACCGACCGACCACTCCGCCTCTTTCCCCAAATATAAGTCGGATGCAGATAGTATGAACACCGATTCTTATTTTACAAACGATCGTGCATGATTACTGTTCCATCATGTCGCTGCTCACGCTGCACGTCGGCAGCAGCCTGGCACAGGCAGTGCTGACCATTCTCATGACCTCCTATGGCTACGCCGCTACATTCGTTATGTCCTTTACCGTTTGTCGGCTCATCCTGTTTGGCAGTCTCTTGCCATTCTATCTGGGGAAGCTGTCATGCACTATCATCCCCACAGTAGTTCGGAACTTCCGCAGCCTGTTCTCCAGTCAAGGGAGGAACAGGCTCATCCGAGAGGCAGAAGAGTACCGGGGCCAATGTGAGTCTCTGGCCATCGCCCAGTGCCAAGGCACATATCGCTTCAGCGAGTCCAATTTGTATCGAGTCCGTCCTCAGGGACTAGGATGGATGCCCGACGACCCCTGGGCTGATTGCATGGCGGAGATGGCCATCTGTGGAGCCACTGTCCGCTTCATGCATCAGAAACCAACACTGGACGGTCCCGCAGGCCGCAGGCGCCCGATCATCTTCCTGCATGGAAATCCGAGCTGGAGCTATATTTGGAGAAATGTATAGATATTAAAAATTAATCTTTATATCAGAACATGGCTAACCCCAGCAGATCCTTCCTCATCTGCTGGACCAAGGTCATGAAGTCTATGCGCTCGACTGGCTCGGGCACGGTCGCAGTGACAAGCCGACCCATCCCGAATCTATTACCTTTGAACTGCATATTCACACGCTTATGCAGTTGTTCAAGGTTCACAATCTCCACCATGCAACCATCGTCGCGCATGACTGGGGTGGGTACGTCGTTGACCCTGCTAGTACTATCTCTTGCTGTCTCCGTCCATGGCTCACTGTCTCCAGGTGCGTCGCATTGTGCGCAATCCCGCAGCTGCCTCAGATGGCCTGCACTCGCCTCCTTCTCCTGAACTCCTTTCTGCCACCGCGTCCGGACGAATGGAATCTTCACTACAGCTTACTCTATGCCATCTGGTTTCTTTCGACGGGCCTCCTGGGCGGCTATATGCCCGAGTCAGGAGTGATGCGTTTCATGTCCCCACACTTGTCGCAACCCGAGACCAATGGATACAGTGCGCCGTATCGATCTCTCCCAGTAGCCACCAAGGCCAGTGTCTTCCGGTTTGGGCATATTGTCCCGGTTACACCGCGCTTTGCCTTACATGGCCTCCGGCAGACGCGGATGTGGAAATTGTTGGAGGGTCTCTGCGGACCGTGTCATTTTGACAACCTTAGTCAACAGGCAAGACTGGCAAAGCGCGGGGAAGAGGTCCGACAGAGCTGGAGAGCGTGCCTCGGAAAGGGTAACCCAGACGTTGTGGTGGTGTTCGGAGAGCAAGACCCGCTCTTGAAGCTGTACAAGGACATCCTCGTCGATTGCATCCATCCAGCACATATGGTTGAATGGGCGCCACAGGGCATATGGCTTTCTGGAGGAGGCCACTATCCCATGGAAGAGAAAGCGGCTGATATATCCCTCTTGATCGAAAAGCTTGCAAGCCAATGATACAATATGACCTAGATATTCATCAGAAATTCTGCTCTGCTGGCGAAGGGACAATCCAATTGCAGGCGAAATAGCGAGTTGGCAGGCAGGAAAATGGAGTGCTATTGAGGCAGGATTCACAGATCATCCATTCGCCAGAAGCGAAACAATGTCATAGGACACTTGATGATACATACTTCGAAGGATTGAAAACTGAAGTAGTGTCGAGGTTTACGAATGTAGTGGTGTAGTAGTGTATCCCTCTCCGATCGGCCGAGTGGTGAGCCGAGCGTGAGTTTGTTGACTATAGCGAATCGTATCGTAATGGTCCTGGGATTCTCGCTGTGCTTACCACCATCAACAAACCATTTTGCCACCAGTCTGTCAGACAGCCGCTGAATAAGTGACAGCCGAGTCACTGCCGTTCATGTCCTACAGAAGGCAGACTTAGTCTAGCGAAACAGTGGCTAATTTCTTGTGCATATGGGATACATTTCACGAGAAATAAGAAGTTTTCAAGTCCCACAGCAGATAAGTGAAGTATATGTTCCAGCTCGACTGTCATTTCTGACTAATTCGCTGATTACAGAGGCAAGATAGGTCTCAACATGCGAGAAACACTTCACCATGGATGAAAAGAATATTCGTCATCTCGCCTCGCACAATCCAATGCCTTAAAATGCACCAAAAAAAAAAAAAAAAAACCTTCCCAATCGCGTACGCTACTAACTTCACCCTCAGTTCTCATTTCCCATTTATTCGCATGTTGAATGCTCTGGAAAATAATAAAGGACTGAAAGAAAGAAACTTCAAGGACAGGGGAATATTTCGAGGAGCATAACAGCATCCTGAATACCATATGGCAGACTTAGTACGAGCCCATAGCGTCATCCTTACTTCTCTTCAGACCACCACCCGCCAGAGAAATAATGGCATCAGTAGGGATAGGCTCCTGGCGGCGCCCAAGCAGGGTGGCCAGTACATCAGCTGGGACATCCTCATCACCACGTCGCTTCAGGCCACCACCAGCCAGTGAGATGATGGCATCAGTGGGAATAGGCTCCTGGCGGCGCCCAAGCAGAGTGGCCAGAACGTCAGCCGGGACATCCTCGTCACCACGTCGCTTGAGACCCCCGAGACCAGCCCCGAGGAGGGTTGCCCGAGCAGCATCAGGGAGTGGCTCCTGGCGGCGCCCAAGCAGGGAGGCCAGGACTTCAGCCGGGACATCCTCGTCTCCACGCTTCTTGATCCAGCCGCCGCTGAGCGAGTTAAGAGCATCAGTAGGGTTGGCCTCGTCGGAACGTCGCTTGAGGCCACCACCAGCCAGCGAGATGATGGCATCAGTGGGAATAGCCTCATCGCTTCTCCTGCCCAGACCGCCACCGATGAGAGACCCCAGGGCGTGATCAGGGATAGGCTCCTGACGGCGGGCATACTGACTGTTATCGGTCTCATACGGACAGATCTCGGTATCAGTGCACACGGGGCCGGGACCAGTGGGGATGTCGACATCCGCATTGGCACTTTCATTGTTGGTATTACCCTTGTTTTATAATCAGTCACTACACATAAATTTGAGTATGCATGGTCTTACCTTGGGGACAGGCGCCGCCAGCACCGAAGTAAAGAGAATAACTGCAGTGGCCAAAGAGGTCTTCATAGTGAACCGTTTGATTTCTGAAGTTTTCTTGGGAAGTAGGATTTGAACTTCTGGTGTAATTTCGTGATGGAGATATTAGATTTGAAGAGGAATCGCTCGGTTTATATACCTCGTGTCTATTGGGATATTTCTTTTCTGATTTGCTTTGAGACAACGAATGTCACTATCGGGTAATGTGTGAGAGGCAACTATCCTTCAGCTCATGTTGATCTACTGACAGCAATATCACTAAATTCAAGAGAGCTTGTTCTACATTCAACAGGCAGGTCGACGATTCGAGAGCTCGACCCCCATAGCTAGGCAAAGGGTCGGTCTCACATGAGGCAGGAGATAGCCCGAACTCCGCGGCATTTCGCAAGGCAGGGTAAAGCGCCCTGTCCGGAGCCTTACGTATGCAATAATGCTCTTGGATGCTTGATGAGCGAAGAAGACCGAGTTGATTGTGCTGAAGCGGCTGTGGTAACGAGAGGGGATCCCCGGGAGGGGTTCGGCTTCGAAATGCCAACGGATCAAGAACTGCCTGATTCGTGCCAACCTCATGCATGATCGAGGAAAACAAGCAATTCAGACCAACTGAATCTGACGAAGGCAATCATTGCTCTCCACTCAACCTGCAAGTAGCATGTCCTGGAGTGGGGACTAGTTTCTGCCGGATCTTACACCCGCCGAGGAGAACTAAGATGAGCTAAAATCTCACGGGTAGCCGGTGATCCTCTCGGCCGCGTTCAGCCCCAGAAAAAGCACGTTCGTCTTTAGAGGCAAAGTGTGATAATGTGTGATAATGCACAAAAGAAAATACATACATGGCGCCATTTATACTACTAAAATGTTATCATATTTACTGATTCCATAATCGGTAGTAATGTGGCGTCATAAACTGAATCCGGGCTCCCTATCCAACAATATCTTGTCGACGACCAGAAAGGACAACGTTACTCTCCTGGATGACATGTGACTAGGTATATATATTGCATATGTATCTGAACTGTTTTGGTTTCCCTCATTGCCATTTTTGTCCCCATGATGCTCCATGGCTAAGACGCGACATTGGACCTCCTCGGAATAAGCAATTAACAGTCTCGGAGCAGCTCAGAGATATGCTGGCTATCAGTAGTCACAACGAGCTCGACTAGGATGGTTTTGTTAATAGGGCTATTGGCAAATGGCATGGTCCTCGATCTGCAACTCCAGAACATGAATATGCTAACATGTCTAGTCGGTATTACGGAAGTCTAGATGCCGACCCACCCACCACACAGAAGCATTGAATAGGAAAGATCTACAGGCCACCCAAATCCCGGCTTTTCGCCACACAAATAGTCCATGTGCTTAGGCTCACATAACGATAGCTCATGCATGCCTAATAGAATAACACATAATCCTGTGTCATCTCAGTACCGAAAAGGAAAAGCCGCTTGTCTGCTCATAAATCTTCTGGCTCGTGCCTTGTCCAACATGGGACTACTCAGAAACCGGGAGACCACACCTGATACAAGCCCATCTTACCGAAGATGTCAAAGTTATATTAGAATATATTGCGCTCCATTATAGTGAACCGTATGGCCGTGTCTCGAGCAGGTGGGCCCTTCAACTTTCCGGCTAGCAATGACAACGGAAGAAATTTGATGGTTGGTGAAGCAGAACTACCAAAGCGGAGGATCTCCTCAAGAGTATCACTGCCTGTATCTGTTTTGGTGAATTTCGAAATATATGATATTATGCATTAGTTTACTGGCTTGTCCTACTTACATGTAATGGTGATTGGCCTTCTCCCCACCTAGACGGGACTATCGATGTGGCATCTAAACAGCAAAAGAAAAGGCCTGGGCTACCAGCCAAGTCGGATTCCTTCGCCCGAACATCACCGAGTAGTGGCCTTTGATTCGAGCTATGGATCTGTTCTCGCAAGCCGCGGATAGAGATCTGTTCAACGATATGGTAGGGGGTGAATGCAGACTAATCCACAAGCACAGGCTGGGCCCAGGCACGGCATCCGAACTCTAGATTAACATAAAATGGTGTCGTCAGCTGCCTATAGCCATGAGACGCCCCCAATAGCGTCAATGCGTATACATGTCGTCAAGTACCACAAAAGGTGCAGGATCTACAATGTACATACGTTCGGGGGTCTTCGTCTCCTATATATACTTCTCGTGAAGAGAATTAGATCAAGGAAGTAAGCTCGCCATCAAGTCATCTCACATTTCTTTCTTTAAGCTGCCTAAATGCCTTCCCGTTCCTGCGATATACCGAATAATCACATGATGTACGAACAAATTGCTGAGCGCTCAAGCTTCGAATCACTTCCTATTGTGAAGGATACGCCTAAGCGGAGGCTTAGGTATCTGAAGGTGGAAGGAATCTCGACCATTATACTTCTTCTTCTTGCCACATTTGGGGTCATTGATCTGTGTTACCAAGCATTCAGTAGGATTTACACTACGAACTACATCCATATCCATGCAAGCACACAAACCGAGCCAAATATTTCCTGTAATTGCGGAGACACCGTTGCTGAGGCCCTTTCAAACAACTGCAAATATGATTCTTTAGCTGCGGCGTGGCTTCCGCCATCTTGTCGGAACGACAACCTCACCCTGGCTTTTGAAAAGGCGGGGTCAAATCCGGATGGAAGCTGGCCTTACTTTGCTGATCTGAACATGACGCGACCGCTGTCACTGAAAGAGGTGTCTCTGCTTCCTGATACTAGGGTAGGGGGTGGAGACGCAAAAAATGTCTTTTTCACGACCCGCAGGTGGCATTTAGTGCACTGTATGTATTATTGGAAGAAAATGTTCTTGTCACAACAGCTGGGAACAACAATTGAGAAAAGATATAACAATGTGGGGCATATTGAGCACTGTCTGATGGCTGTACTAAAACAGGAAGAAGGCCTGGAGGAGCTTACAACGGGGGCTGGAGTGGCGTTGCACTCGGATTGGATCAATGGGCGGCCGGATATACAAGACCATGACCATGAACACGACCACAACTAAGAGTGTCTGCGATTAATCATCTACAAAAGAACAAGCCTCCGAAATTTTCGTGGTCAATCAGATAGCAGTAACCTGTGTTTGTTGGGAAGTGGTGTCGCCTATTCATTTTGAGACTGCAACACTATGGCATCAATTCTTCCGAACTGTGTTCTTGGCAATAAAGAGTGTGGCGCCTTCCTGCAATCACGACAGGAATTTACAAATCTAATCCACAAGCTAACGGAGACAATTTTCCACTCGTGATGAATAGACGCTCACATTCCCAACATATTGTGCCTCTGGAGCGTTGGTATTGTCGAGCAGTGAGATATTGTTGCTGGCTCTGAATAGTTAGAACTCCTTACTTCAACTTCAATATTGAATATGAAACATCGCTTACATCGATACAAATGTGCCCAGTCAGTGACTGATCGTGATATAAATACTACACACCTGATTAATTTCTTCCATGTAATGCGAGGAATAGTGATAATACGGGAACGCTGGGGCCTTTGTTGAATTCCAATACTTCGGGTTGCCAACGTGAAATTAGGATGGATTCATGGCGACAGCCCTACTTGATCTTCTACAAGAAGTGTACATTGTTCTGTGTATCTTGCACCATGATTTAAGGCTGTCATGGCTACCAAATCTGGGCGCAGAATGTAAAAATGTAACGCCGTAGGTCCAGGGATGTCGCAGGTCTAAGCACCATGATAGCATCTAACGCCACGTAAAACATCTCTGAATAGGTAACTGTAGCGTCGCAATCGTGTTGGTGACATTATGCACCAGGCGGCTTGAAAGGATACAGACGGCCAAGAAACCCAGGTCCAGGCTATTTCATCCACATAATATTCCGTGATGTCGACACCCTACCGCCCGGGATGCTGTCTGGATAACACACTTACTACTGCACCTCACAGGACCTTGCTCGTTTGTCAACAGAGATGTGTATTCATCACATAGGAGAATGGTATACTATGTCAAACAGCTCAGTCTGGAAGCCGGTCCTAGAGGGTGCATCTGAAGATGACCTCTTGATAAAGCTATCGCAGCGTAAATTGGGTAGCTAAAGTAACAGGTCAGGCGGGGACCATATTGGAGAGGTAAGGCTCTATTGCGCTAGCTCTGTGCAGCTTGAAGGATACACTTCTCTCTCTAGAAGGGCAGGAGAGGCATTAAGATTTCAGTGCGTCTTCCAATATTGCGGTTAAAATATTTACGAGCAAATTATAAAGTGATTGAATAGGGAGACCTATCATCCCTAAGTTTGGGCTCGTTGCTGGCCTGTCCTGTCGAAGCTTTCTGGCATGATGCTGGGGTATATAGATCACAAGCCTCTAATATTAATATCTACTGAATGGGAAACAGGCTAGGTGATGGTTTTACTCATGGTTCCTCGTAAAATTTCCGTGGAATATGTGCTCGATGTGCTTGTTGAGTACTCCGTGATATATATAGAGTTCAGACGAACATGCTTCCTAAGCAGGATCTTCTCGGGTCTACTAGCGGCTATTTATGCAAGAGTCAGGTCTGATGGCCTTGCGCTAAAGCTCCATTCTAGGCAGGTTGTGGTATACTTGGCGAAAATTTGACCAACCAATCCCGACCTTCTTTGTAGGATGGTGCGGGTCTGCAACAATGCAATTGAGGAGAGGAACATCGTCCTATAAGCGGTGGATCAAAAGGTTCAGGGGAGAATTAGTAAGCAAGTTGAAGGATAGACTGCTTACATCATATCCGCACGTCAAGCCCGAGTAACGTTAATTGGACAGCCAACATATTAGTCTTACTAATCAAGCGTTGAAAATGTTGTCAGAGAATACAGAAACTGGTTATTTAGTATGAAATGTTATTTTAAGTATGGTTAGGGCCTCTGGGGAGTCCAACTTTGCATGAAGACCACCATTGCGTAACATCGGGATACCATAAAGCGATACTATATATTTAATGAGCTGCATCCTATAAGTGAGGAGTATTAATTGTTTTACTGAATCCAAACCTAATTGAATTGGAGGATTGACTCGTTCTGTCAATTAGTTACGTAGAAATGCTGATGAACGCCCAAAGACTTGAATTGAACGGAACAGGATGTAGAGTAGCATAATTCATTGGTCATCATGGTTTAAAAAATGAAAGGTCTACAATTTAGCACCTTTTGTGTTGCGTAGGAAGGCCAATGACTCCGCCATCACTTTCTCCCACTCCTTGGTGGGCCGGGACCTCTCTGCCGGCGACAAATCTTCCCATCCGGCCGCAATGCGATCCTCATCGGTCCTCCATCGTTCCATCTCTTTCTGGATCCATTCTCCCAGAGTGTTAGCAGTCACATCCACCTTCTCCAGAGGCAAAGCATGACCAGCACCCTTAACCCACAAATGTCGGACGCGATCGTACAACACACCTCCACTTCCTCCAATACTACTTCCTGTTCTTTCTGCCATGGTAGTATGAAGTCCAGATTTGAATAATGGGCTCGATGCCCCACTCAGAAATAGAGCAGAAGGACGAAGATGTGGTAGCAATTTCCCAGCCACAATAGGTTCAGGCCGATATGCTTGTTGACCAGGTGGCAAGCCGGCCATCACATCAGGGAAGAACAGGGGATCATGAGGGGGCTCTGTGAGGCAGCCGTTTGTATTTTCAGTTCGTATACCCAGCTCCTTATGCCGGTGTGGGTTCGCACGCGCATAGATAAGTGCCTCCTGGAACTTGGTTGTTGTCAAAGTAACTGGCGCCTCAGAGGCAAGCGCACCGTCGTTGGGATAAATGGCGGTGGGAAGTTCCCGATAGCCCCACTGGAACCAGCGTTCGAGGACCCGGGAATCCCAGGACCGCAGGTATTGCCGAGCCTTCTCTTCCGCTGCGGCCCGTGAAGGCCAAACATCGCGCTTGTGCTTGGTGAGGTGAACGAGAAGCGGAGCATCTGCGTCGGTATTCTTCTCGATAATGTATGGTTCGATGAGGATGAGAGATTGTAGTATGCGGGGATGCATCAGGGAAAGAAAAATCCTGGTAGGACACTAATTAGAAGGAATCGCACCTTAGGGATAGGCAAACTAACAGCTGCGTTGCACCAAGACTGTGCCCAACCCCCATTATGGGTCGGGTCATCTTGTGACGGAAATGATTCATCATGAGAAGTAGGTCCCGACTGTGATCGAACGCCGATGCTGCTTCAACTTAGCCATAAACGCGTACAAGAAATTTGGTTTGATGCTGCCACTGACGGTCGTTGCCCAAAACAGCTTCATTAGCAATACCGCTGACACCTTGATTTGTAGCATCAGCAATCCAGATAGAGCCGATGTTAAATCCTTCCTTTCTGCTCCGGGCATAAAGGTCTTCCCAGAGGGGCTCGTAGAGTTCCTGTACACGTCTCAGTACTTATTCTCATTGCCATATCCGGTCCCTTACCTTGGGAAAACCCGTCCCGTGCGCAGCAACAATTGTCAGGTCACCATTCTTGGGATCTGGATTATCTATGGGGGCATATTGCTTGATGCAGAGTTTTAACGGAGTATCTTGGCTGGCTGTGGCTCGAGGATATTCTCTCATGTATTGTGCGTCTATAACATGGTCCGTGATAAGATAAGGGTATGACATCTTGCTAAACAACCCAGCATATGTTCCTGCTGCTATGCAAGTGTCTGATTGTCAAGTAGGTGAACAGCTAGGATCTGTACGGTCTTTGGATGCCCGTATAAGACGCCTTTATGCGAGAATAAACCCCTTTCCCCCTTTGACCCCCCGATCGGACAATGAGTCGGAGGGCCCATCCTGTAAAGTTTGGTTTTCATCACTTCCCCACTACAATTTACCAGCACGGTTTTGTGGAGTTCTGACTCGTTGTCGGGAATATTCCATCTTCACCACACAAGATCTACTTTAGATCGGATCCACATGGGCTGTGACGAACCATTGGGACCAATGGTTACCGAAGTTATGGTGCGCGCAGACATCCGAATCAAACAAGCGACTTCGACGTCCTGTGCAGGATTGGATCCCTAGCATTCAAAACACCCATGGCATAAGCAGGAGGTAATGGAAAGATGGGATAAGTTCATAAGTTCTGATGCGCTTTACCCCTGCCAATGCTGTCATTATGAATCTCCCACAGTGAGATGTTCTGTGCCGGCCATTCCGATGACTCTTCCCGCTGTTCTTTAGCGCGATCCACTCTTCTCCACTCCATATCTCAGCTAAGACTCCACTGTTCAGCTATGGGGTATATGAAACTGAATGATCTGTCCGATTGCTTTCTCAATATGGTAGACTAGAATGATGTGATGCATCCATCAATGCTCCACCACGGACTCAGCTCCTCAACTTAGAGTGGGCAGTGGGCGGATCTTTTAAGATTCACTCTCGTGGCTCATGACTTGTGTAGGTTTGAACCACTGAACTGCTACTTTGTTTATACCATGCAAAATTTTCAGCTCCGTGCACGTATGCGTAGGGTGCCGAATCGCTACCCGAGTCATGGTTTATCACATCGAAGACCCTCCGCTCTTCACAAGGTCACTTCCACTTGTCCAGTCTTACTCCTGTCATGAGGTCTTCTTTTGAGAATTCATCTAGCTTACATCCTAAGGAATCGCCCCCTAACCAAGGATCATGGGTTTCCATCTCATATTAATCGGCGTGATAGCACTCGTTTGCTATGTAGGTCATAACCATCTGGATATGCAGCATTTTCTGACAATAGAAGGCGTTATCACTTGCCACATACCGACTCTGTTTCCATCCGCTAGCGAGGTTCCCGGGACCTTGGATGGGAGCTTTGACCGATTGATACGCAGCATTCTATGCATGGCGAGGTGACCTACACATGATGGACCTTGAATGGCATGAGAAATACGGTAAGTGATGTGGCATATTGAAATGAACCCCAGAGTAATCGGCCCGCAAACTTAATTAGGTGAAATCGTGCGCTTTGGGCCAAATTCCCTCTCCTTCAACTCCTCCAAGGCTGTGAGCGACATTTATGCAGTCAGGGCCAACGTCCAGAAGTCAGAAGGTTACGCATCAATGAGCCCAAGTCGATATACCCCCAATACCCTCACTGCGATTTCTAGGAATATCCACACCTTCAAGCGTCGCATATTGGCGCAGGCATTTTCAGACCAGAGTATCAAAGATATGGAGGACAGAATCCAAGAAAAGATATCCAGCTTTGTCAACAACCTTCTTACGGATACCAATTCTGAATCTGGGTGGAGCTCTCCTAAGAATATCTCGCAAATGTGCGACTGGCTAGCCTTTGACATAATCACTGATCTGAGTTACGGCAATGATCTTGACATGTTGAACTCAACTGAAATGCGCTGGTTCCCTTCCGTGATTCGGAAAATATCCCAACGGAGCCTAATAGTATGTTCCTTCACCGATTGATCTCTCGAATACCAGGATAGACCTAACATATGCCGTAGGGACTCTTTCAACCTTATTTCATAAAGTTTAGGCTGGATTGTCTGCTTTTAAGGCAAAAGTACAAGGAGATTTTGGCTGCGGCAAGGTGGACACGCTCCCAGTCAGCTGCACGAATGGAGGTTGGCAACAATAGTGAACAGAAAGACATCTTCAACGCAATGCTGAATGCAAGAGATAAGAAGACTGGATTGCAGTTTACTCGAAAAGACCTAGGTCTTGAGTCGATGCTCTTGCTCGTCGCAGGTATGTTGAAGAATATTTTGCAGAGAAGCTGCGCCTTCTAGAAACAGCTAGCCTTCACCTTCCACTTACTTTATGATGCTGAGATATTCTAGGTTCCGATACAACCGCTACTGCTCTTTCTGCTACATTATATTACATCATTCATGATTCAAATATCTTGGCGCATCTGACAAGAGTTATCCGAATGACGTTCCCTGCGGAGTCCTCAATAACAGCATCTTCTGTCCTTGCATCTCCGGACTGCTCTGTCTTGCGAGCTTGCATCAATGAAGCAATGAGACTTACGCCCCCTGCACCTAATTTGCTCCCGCGAAAAGTCCTCTCCGGTGGCATGGAAGTCGACGGCATTTATGTACCGGCAGGAACAATTGTCGGTGTAGCTGCCTATACCGTGCATCGTAACGAAACATACTTCCACGATGCAGATAGATTCGAGCCTGGAAGGTGGCTTGATGGCAATGAGACGAGCCAACAGAAGATGCAAATGGCATTTGTTCCATTTAGTGTTGGACCAAGGAAGTGTGTTGCTTGGAGATTAGCCTGGGCAGAAGTAAATCTAGCAATAGCAAGGGTGTTGTGGAGATATGACCTGCGTCTTGCAAGAAACAAGCGTTGTTGCAAGGAAGATACCAGTTGTGAGTATGACTTCAAGGCAGGAGTAACTACTGCTGTTGATGGGCCAGTGATTGAATTGAGACCTAGAATAGCATGAGTGTTATCTGTCCATTTATTCGAACAGATATAATCTAGCATGAATTACGATACCATGGAGATAGATTATCGATGTCATGGGAGTTTACAGATGTGATAGATTAAGGCAGTCTATATCACAGAAGTAAAGATATTCTAGTAAAATGCTATTAGGGTGCCGGACCCCAAGTGGAAAAACAGCGTAGATGATAATATTATCTTGATTATAACATATAGACTGGCTTAGGGCCAGGTCAGGTTAGGTTAATGGAATAATTCTAAACCTGCGGTATAAGGATGGATATGATGGGGTACTATGAAGGGCTTGTCTCTATTACAAGTATTAAATATGAATTTTATTTTGTTTTCTTTTAATATTATGATTATTGTCTTATGTGATTTAAGATTATAAACACTCAAATTATCTTCAACATCTCTAGTAAGTATTGGTACATGAGTATTGAGGTTAAATGCATTATCTAAATTTAATTTTCTTCTACAAGGTCATGAGAAGGCCCGCTAAAGTCTTTAAAGGTTATATTCTTGATAGCTTATACACTATTTAATATTACAACTTCAGATTATAATATAGCACTGAGATCAAGATACACACATTTATTCTAAAATGTAAGTCTTGAAGGAGTTTGCGGGTAAATGGCAGTAGACTACTACTATTATATGATTCACTGGCTGGTGGTGTCATATGCGTCATCCTTGCTCTGCAGCCTTCCATCATTTCCCTTACAAAGCTATAAAAAGCCTGAAACTTGGAGAATAGGAAGCTACTCTGCCTTTATGCTAGGCAACTAGATCATTGGATCATACCTGTAATTCTGCCCTGATTGGCCGACCACTTTTTTAAAGCCCGCAATGCAGGTCTCCCCTGCCGGGTTCCACCGGCCGAGTTTCCCCCACCGGCTGCCACTAATAGGAATCATACTACGATTGTGATTTAAACATTTCCGCAGAAAAGTAACTGTCAAAAACAGTCTGTTCGCAAGCAGGTCGAGAGACATATCTCAATGACACGCAAGCAGATGGAATGTGTATTGAGAAGATTACACGGGCAGGCTACTGGCCAAGCTATTGGGTGTAAGTGGAACGCTTCATACGGCCAGGGAACGTTGCAGGACCGGATTAGGATTCGAAGGGTTAGTTTGACATTGGATTTAATTCTCCCTCATCGGTATTACTTGGCATTGGTACCTTCCTCTTCTATCATAGTATTCATCTCTCACTTCTAATCTAGCTAGGAGCTCCGGAAGCATTTACCATGATCCCTGAGCCCCTACCCCGAGCTACTGCAGAATACGATGATTCCACGTCAAGCGTGGTCTGCACTGAGATAGCCGTGAGTGTCAGGGCCGTCTCATCCTCTCCAAGTCGCTTGCCGCGCTTGCCGCTCGAATGGAGAGTACCGTAACGTTTGTAACTCTCCTGCAAACTCTCGTCTCGGGAAGCGCCATTCGTGCTGGAGGCAGTCTTCTTTATGAGTGTGATAACCGGTCGGAGCGAGGGTAGGCATGCTATTTCGTAATTAGCCCGTAGAAAAGAATATGGCGAACGGTCAAAGCGGCAACACACCAGACACGATCCCGATGTTTGTCTCCACTGCCGTCCATTTCGAGGGTCCGACAAAGACCCATGTTTCGTCCAGCGAGGGTACCTTGTATGCATTGAGCATGATGACGAGACGCACGATCGAGATGATGCAAATGCTGGTTTTCCCGACCCGGTTAGTTCGATGTTACTATAGTTATTGGGGGTAGAAAGGGGAATAGGAATGACAATGAACGTACAATCCACCCATAATAAACACTCCAGTCAGAGCCAGCTTCTGCGACGCACTACGCTGCAGCTTCCAAACATAAGGCAGCGGGAGGGTCAGGAGCGCCCAGTCGGTGAGGATATTGGGGACGGCGTTGCCGATGAAAAAATTGTTGACATTGACGCCGCAGTGCGAGGGGATGGTCTTGTCCCAGAATCCATGCACCGGGAGACACTGGAAGATGGTTGTTAAAATAACCCCCAAGCCCCACCCCGTCACGACAAAAGCGATGAGATAAATCGGGTACCGGATGTTGCTCATGCCGAAGATGCGCCAGTAAAACATCAGGATTGAATATTTGGTGAAACAGATCGACAGCGTGTACAAAATTTCGACGATGAAAAGGTTCAAGAGGAAGTGATGAAGACCCGGGAGTCCATATAAGTAGATGTGCTGCCCTACGCCGTGATTGACCCAGTCGATCATGGTGGCGTAGTTGGCTGTCGCTGTGAGCTGCACAAGTCCGGTTAGTGGCTTGCATACTGCTCAATGGGGATTGGGGAGGCTGAAGCATGAAATGCAAAGGGAAGGCCAAGAGCGAGGGGAAAACATACCATCGCGATGCAGACCAGGTAATCATCCCACCACAGACCTGCTTTGGAGATCAGCGTGCGCGACACGATGCGGAGGCCAAAGGCCAGGAGAGCCAAGGCATAGGTGACGGAGTAGGCTCCATACAGTTCCGGACGCTTGGATTCCGTCAGGTCCAAGCCGGCTGGAGGGGTGAGATCCATGGTATAGCACTTCCAGGTCTATCAATCAATCCAAATCGACAAGACAACAGTCAGCGGAATCTGCGCGGATTTATAAACATGGGGGCATCGATCTTTGGGCCCCACGTAAGACCGACGCCAAAGGGGTAGAAAGAACCAGGGTGTGCCGGAGCTTGACAGGGATTCCTTTAGGGGCCGGATCTCAGGATCCCACCAGGGACCACAACCGACTGCGCTGCCAGATCCCATTACAAATACGGACAGGACCCAATACTAATCACTGTCATTTCTCTCATCTTCAAGCATCTCTCCTTGTCTGCACCGCAATCATCTCTTCCCAAAGCCTCAGATCCTCAGAATGACTACTGTCGTCGTGATTCCCGGTGCCTGGCTCACGCCGGACTTCTACCAGCCCTTCCTGATCGCCCTCAATCTAGCCGGTTACCGCACGCACTTGGCAGGCTATCCCTCGCTCAATCCTTCCAACCCTGCCACAGCCGACTGCCAAGCCGACAGCGACGCAATTCAGCGCGAGCTACGCAACTTGGTTGAGGATCAAAGCCAAAACGTGGTGCTGTTAATGCACTCGTACGCCGGCATGCCTGGCGCATCGGCTGCTTGTGGATTGTCCAAGGTGGAACGACAGCAGCAGGGCAAGTCTGGAGGAATCCTAGGGCTGATTTTCCTGGCGGCCTTTATGGTTCCTGAAGGCCACAGTTGCGCCGGTCTTCAGGGCGGACAACTCCCTTCTTGGATCCTTCTCGACAAGGTGAGAGATAACAATGCTGCATCCTGCGTCCTTCTGCCTTCTTTCACGTGGCCTCACATATTCACTGACATCCCATCCCTTCTCCCACTGCAGCCCTCTGCGCAACTCAACATCGTCGACGACCCAGTCGGCAACTTCGCTCCGGAGGTTGACCAGGCACTCCTAGGCGATCTTAATAGCTACCTGAAACCCCATTCTTCCTTGGCCTTCTTCTCTCCACAGCCTGTTCCGGCCTGGACAGACGCTGCCTACGCCGGACGGCTTGCCTTTATCATCACTACGGCGGACAAGGCGGTGCCCAAGGAGGCGCAACGCTGGATGATTACCAACACCGAAAAGGAGTTCATCGTCAAGGAGATGGAATGCAGCCACCTGGCACCGTTCGTTGATCGCATCCCCGAGACAGTGGGCTTAGTCGACGACCTGCTCCCAATATTTCAGGCTAAGTGAGAGTGAAGAAATCAATGCTTGGTCTTCCACTCGTCTGTTTTTCCTTTGGTTCCTAGCTGCTTGTAGCTAATTCATACGTACAAACACAAACTCCAAGCCGCCTTGATCCGCGGGCATCCAGGCCACATCTTCCACTTGCAAGCCCCAATCCCGCCGTAGATCCACCTCGCGCACCTGCATGGTCCATTCCGTGGCAGTTGCGCGCTGCACTGATTCCCACAGCGCGACGAACGAGTCGCGATTATGGAAGAACATCGTGCCCCAGGGTCGCACATCCTCGCGGGGCTGTTGCCGGCCCTGTTGGTACCCCACCACCCTCGTGCCCGGGCGTGACAGCTCAATGATCCGCCGGATTACTTCCCGCTGATCGGCCAGGTCGAACAGGTGGATGAACTGATTAGCGATGATCAGGTCCACGCTGCCGCGGAGCGGAGCCAGGGGCGATGATTCGGCGGTGATATCGAGGGTGCGGAAGTCGCCGGCCACAAAGTGTGCTGCCATGCGATCACGATCGCGGAACAACTCGTAGCCTAGTTCCCACAGGCGGGGTTCCAGGTCAACCGCCCACCAGCGCGCCGTCGGGACGCCGTCGGGGTAGGCGGCGTGGGCCGCCAGCAGCCGCAGGTCCTGGCCAAGTCCGCACGCGAGATCGAGCACAATTGCCTCTCGTGGTTGTCGTACGAGGTCCAGAATCGAGGGAAATTCAGGGAAGCCGGCCAGGCCTGGCAGCAGGAACATCCATTGCCCGATGCAGGGGTATTGTCCGACAGGCCAGGCTCGATCTCGCTGCAGATTGGTCGAGGCACAGCCATTAGTAGATTAGCACTCTTCCTGAAGTGTCACCCGGTGTATGTGTACATTACATACGTGGGTAGGTGCAGGGCAGGGTCCAACTTACGACGCGGTGTAGGTGCGCAGGAAGGTCAGTGTCGGCGATGCTACTCCACCGGTTATAGACGAACCGGCAAGCAGGTGATAATCGGGACCCCAAGTCGCGGTGGTACCAGACAGAAGGATCCATAGTCTTGAACCAGAAGGGAAGTGGATGAGTGGCAATGGCGTGAACGGATGGATGGGATTGATGGATATATTAAGTCGGAGATTGCCTTGCCATTCAGTTACATTTCCTATGGCCCCAATTCCTTCGCCTCTACTTAGGGCCGGCGCTACCGCAGCGCTAATTCTTCCGACTCTGCATGGCCCTCGTATTCATTTAAACTACATCCTTAGTCGGTCGTGCTCCGGCCCCCAAACCCCCTCTAACTCGCCAATTTCATAGACTCTGGTGCCGTACACCCGTTGCATGTACGCCAACCATTGGTCTTCGGTGAAATGATGGCCAGCAGTGCAGCCTTTCACCACCGTCGTCAACCATCCCCGCTGGAAGGCGCCGCGCACTGTGGCATCGACACAGACATCTGTGAACAGCCCCACCACCACCAGGTGCTCTAGATTCTGTTCCAGCAGATAATGTTCGAATCCGGGAACCAGGAATGGGTCATAACAAGCTCGCTTCTCAAACTGACGTTCCTGCGCACGAGGTTGTACCGCCCCGAACAGCTCGGCTCCCCATGTTCCGCGCAGACACCATGGCTTGCGATGTTGTTCATGGTCGCGTTGGCGCCAGCCTCGCGGCTGATATTCCGGATCTCCATGGAATCGAACCCAGATGACTTCGGTATGGGCCTGGCGGGCATGATCCACTAGCTGCGCAATGTTGGCACTGACCCGCTCCATGTCGCGTGGATGCGGATACTGCGTGACAAAGTCGTTTTGGAAGTCCACCACAACCAGCGCGGTATCGGATGCAGCTGGAGCAAGACTCGCTGGAGATGTAGCAGCCGATAGGACCGCAGCAGCATCCAAGAATCCTTCCACAAATGCCAAAGTGGTGGAGGAGCCGCCCTGATCGGGAGTCTGTAAGCCCTGGATGGCCAGCTGGTGGAGGGCCAGATCCGTGATACGCTTGACTCCCACACAAAGCGCTTTGTCCTCCAAAATTGCAGCGACGGCCCGGATCGTTGCAGTGGGATTGACAATGCCCTGTCCGGTCAGATCGTCCGCTGATCCATGCGCCGTCTGCCATTCGCTCAGCCCCTGCACCGTCGGATGCAGATAGATGTTTTCTGCACACGCTCCCTCCTGGACCCCGAGCCCAAACCGGTCCAGAAGCACTGTCTGCATCAGATCTGCATACTCATTGGCAGCGATAAGCACCTGGTGGCCCTCGATCCCTCCAGCTGCCAACAGGTTCCGGTTCATGGTGTCTCCCTGCACGCAGCGGACGGTGACCCCGTAGGTCTGCTCCCAATCGCGCGCCCACTGTAAAAATAGCCCGTCAAACAGGTGAAATTTGTAGACGAGCGTGATAGTGTCGATAGCAGCCGCCGCCCCCGTTATTCGTGCCTCCAGGAGCTGCCGCGCACGAGTCAGGCCGAAGGTGATGATGCGGTCGAAGATGGCCTTGCGAAAATGGACAGTGCGCGACACGCCCTTGCCATCCTTCTCCACCTCGTTGATTCCCCCGTAGAATCCTTGCGCCTGGTCACGTACCAGCACCAGTGACTTGGTCGGACTCTGCCAGTAATGCTCGCACTTAACGGCTTCGAGCTGTTCGCGCACCATATACAGCGCCTGCGCCGAGATTGAGGTGCGGAAGATGGCTCGCACGCCTCGCGCGGCGGCCTCCTCGCAGAACTGCCGGTAGTGAATGGTGTCCTGCAGCGTTTCCTCGGTCACGGCGTCGGTCTCATTAGCGGCAAGCAGCGACGAATACGAATTGTAGATCCGATTGGAGCGGAAGCAGTCGATCTTTGTCCCGTACGGCGTGGCCAGGGCGTGGATGACTTGCTCGAACACCGCGGCTAGTTCCGGGCCTGTGCCGGCGCCGATGGCAAGTCCCACCAAAAGTGATGACATGGCTGACATAATATTAGGCTGTATTTTGCTAGGTCAAGGCTGAGTCCATCCATGTCTTTCCTAAGGGAGGGGGCTGAATTTATGGTTTTCAAGGCTGTTAACATGGCTTACTCACGGATTGTTATTTCTGAATATATACCCTAGTGGCTTTTGCTTCCGCTAAGCTTAGAGGGACCGATGCACCGGTCATATATCCCTGTCGTGCCACCCACACTCCCTTTCAATGAATCCCTAAGTCTCATACCCAGACCACAAAAACCAAGCCTAAGCAATGACCGTCTTTACTCCAGCGGCTGGCTTTCATCTAGCCGACGGCAAAGGTTATACCCTGGGCCACTATTCCCTGGCCATGTGCCGCCTGAACCTGCAGATCTTCCTGTGGAGGGCCTCACTTGGATTCACCCTGCACCCCTCAATCCCCCTCCCCACCACCGGGCGGATTGCCGACCTGGCCACGGGCACGGCGCTGTGGTTGACGGAGTTGGCGCAGACCCTGCCTGCCGACGCCGACGTGCAGCTGGACGGGCTGGACCTGGATCTGCGCAAAGCACCGCCCCACCCTTGGCTGCCGGCCAACGTGCACCTGCACCACGCCGACATTCTGGCCCCATTGCCGGACCCTCTGGTCGGGCAGTACGAGGTGGTACACCTCCGGCTGCTCATCCTGGTGGTGGAGAACAGCGACCCCACCCCAATCATCCGCTACGTCCACCGCATGCTCAAACCCGGCGGTTACATCCAGTGGGACGATCTCAACTACCCGGACACCCACGTCACTCGTGTCGATCCAACGTCTCCTACGCCCGCTTTCGACCGCCTGCGCGATTTCGTCTATTCCAAGGGCCGCCACGACTGGGTTATGCGCCTGGACAAGATCCTCACCCGCGAGGGCTTCGTTGACGCCTGCATGCACCACTTCACTGACCGCAGGGACTTGATCATGGCCAACGGCCATCAACATCTGATGACCATGCTGGAGTTTGCTGAGACCCTCCGGGCTAAGGGTTTGGAGCTGGAAGCCCGTGAACTGGACGTGCTTTTGGCCGAGGTCAGCACCGAGGCTGCCCGGGGCGCTGCTCTCTCGATGCCTCGTGTGGTCTGTGTCGCACGCAAGCCATAAGGTCTACCTTCCCTTGTCTACTTTGACTTCAAATCTATAAGAGTTGCGGGCGAAACCCCACGGTGCCGCCCTCGATTTCAACTTCCCAGGACACAATGTTATTATCGAGCATAATCAGACGTCCCGGAGAAAAAGCCCTGCAACTCCATTTCTTTACTGTAGCCTCCCAGAGCAGGAATATCTTTCTCCCATACAGAAATTCCAGAATTAAACCATTGTTCGATTTGTCGGAATCACTAAGCCTCTCAGGCCACTACCACGATGTACCCGTATAAACGTATTTACTCTGACTAGCAGGGCGGCTGCTGGAGTGGCTATACCTAATATAACATAACTTTAACCTGGCCAGTAGCTTAGGGTCAGATCAAGATATAAAAGTCGTTTTTATTATACAGTTAAGACAGAGTGACAGAATAATTAACATTCAGGTTAGAAACCAAGCTCTTATAAAGTGTAATTCGGTATGATTGTATTGAGTATTTTGGGTCTTGAATTTGAAATTCAGTGCGAAAATAATATTTAAACATAAATCATGTTTGAATTACAGGTTAGTATATCTGGTCTATACAGTTACAGATTAAAATAGAGTTTTGTAATTTTCTAGTAGGGAAAACTTCACAACGGGACAACAGTCAAATAATGTCCGATAAGATTATAAGTAGTATCATTCAATAGAGTATCTTACAGAGAATATAATAATATAACTTTTATCTTTTTAATAAATTATCTTATAAAATTGTATTTAAAGATAGCAGTATTCCCTTCTAAATATAATTAATATATATAATAAAAATTTAATCAGATTAATATATATAATAAAAATATAAATTATCTTAGTACTTTTTTCTAAAGATTCTAAGCCTAATTAAATCCATTAAATATTAATAAAAATAAATATTATGATAATAAGTATTTTTCCAATAAATATTATATAAAATTATATATTAATATTTTTATTAAATATAATTTTATTATAAATTCTAAGAACTCTATATATTTTATAACTTAGAAAGCTCAAATTATATATATTTTTAATTTAATTTTATTTATTATATCTAACTTTTTTAAAGAAGTTTTTTTCTAGGAAGAACTATCTATGTTTCTGTTTTTCTTATAAAATAAAAAATGAGATTTATTGATTATATAAGACCATAAAGCCTATAGTAATTAATCAAGTCTAAATATAGTCCACGTATTTATAAGAACTAATAAATCTAGAAAAAGAAATTACTATCTATTTTTGAAGAATTAAGTAAATTTAAATATTTCTTAAGATTCATTTTCTTCTCAATAAGTTCTATCTTTTTTTATTCTGTTTTATTAAAAAAATTAATATATTATTCATTATATCTACTTCTACCAGGGCTCTGGCATTATTAGTTATATTAAATCATAATAATAAATATATTATTAACAGATTTAAAGAAGATTACTTGATTATTTAAAATTTAATACTTAGATTTTTAATTAATTTATTCAAAATCTATTTGTATCTTCTAAGCTAAGTTAATCTGAGATTTATAAATATAGATTTATAAATGTTATTATAGATTTATCTAAAAGTAAGCTCAGGCAAAGTTATGTAAAAAAAAGACTAGTATATATATTATTATTTAATCAGATAATCAGATTAATTATCTTTTCTATTCAGGACTAGAGTGGCAAACGGCCAGGTCAGGTCAGGTTAATGGCAAGGTTTATACCTGCCGTCAGGTTAATAGTCAGGTTAAGGAAAATCTTATACCTGGCCGCAGTTAAGTCTAAAAACAGGACAGTTAATTATCTTAATTATTCTTAGTACTAAGTCCTACCCGCTATACTATTTTAGATTCTAGTATAAATAAAATATATTTAAATTAATCCCTGCTTAACCTATCTATTTATACCTTTATTAATAAACATATCAAGATAGATATTTTTGTTATAAAAAATTAATTAAAAGAAGAAAAGATATTTTCTTTATTATATATTAAATTAATTAATTTAGAATCATCTTTAGTATTAATAAAAATAAAGTTTTTTATATAATATAATCTTATAATAAAAAATATTAATAGAGATATATATTTACTATTTTATTTTAATTATATATATCTTATAAAATTAATATATTATATTAATAATTTATATATATTTTTAAATATAGTTTTATATAGTCTCTGAAGCTTATTATAATTTAATTATATTTTTTTATAAATCTTAAGAACTTTCAAATTTTTATTTTAAATTAATAAAATTTTAATTATCAGTCTTGTCTCCTATAAAAAAGTGATTATTATTTAAGTAGTAATAAATATAAAAAAATCAGGTTTATTTTAATTTAATTATTTATAAATTTATAATTTCTTATAAAATTCTATTAAGAAATTACTTATATACTATATAATATTCTAATTCTTAAGTTAATTATTTATATATTACCTCTGATAAATAGTACTTGGCAGCTGCCGGCTATAATAATATTAAGCTATATAATATTAAATCTATTAATTTTAATTTAGTCATGACTTTTAATAGCTATATAAATAATATTACTAGCGTTGTGTTTTAGTATAAGAGGAAGTAGATGGTTACTAGCTTAAAAAATAATATAATTAAAATCTAGAATACTTATACAGACAGTCTGCAGTATAATTATATATAAAAAGCTTTAATTAATAATATTATAATTTATTTTAACCAGTTCAAGCTTATTAGCAGTAATTATACTGGTATTATTCAGATTTAAAATCTAGATAAAAGTATCTGCACTCAGCAGCTAATTTTTAAGAATAATATTATTATTTATAATATTAGTATTATAAGTAATAAATTCCTGCTTTATATTAAAAATAAAAAAATAAAAAAGATAATTATTTACTGCTTATCTTTATTACTGACTTTGAATAACCAGTTTACAGGATAATATCTACATCTGGTATATAATTTAAAATACTGAGATAATATATATTATTCTAATATATATTTTCCAGATATATAAAAATTATTTTATTTATATTTTTCTTTTTTTAGATATTAAATATTTTATAATATACTCTGCAGACTACACAGCTAAAGTATAGAATCTTAATCTTAATTATTTATTAGCTAAAATTACTGTTATTAATACTACTAAGACTAAGATCAGAGTTATATTTTATTTAAATTAAATAATAATCTTTCTTCTCCTGAATCTACCTAACAAGTGAATTATATATTTTTAAATAGAACTAATTTTAAAGCTAATTTATTTAATCTTTTTTAAATAGTAATTTTTATAAATAATAAATTCTAGTAGTTTTTTCTTATATAACCAGATAGATTTTCAATGGACTCTGTAATAGAAATATTTATATAAATTATTATTAATAGATCTAGATTATACTTTCCTACTGATTTAAATAGGAGAAGAAGTAGGAGTGACTTATAAAAAATTTATATAATTAATATATAAGTATAAATCTATGTTTTATTTATTATTATTTATTAAAATATATATTAAAAAAAAGATTTATATTAATTTAATATATTATTATTTATTAATAATCTTCTTATCCTGGGTTTTCTTTAGGATTTTCTTTAGAATCTTAGTCAGGATTTTATCTATAATCTTCTTCTTGGTTAGGCTTTTTTTTTAAATATAAATAAGATATATTTAGATTTTTTTTTTTTTAAGATTAAATTATGTTCTCTTTAACTCTATTATAATTATATCTAATAAAATTTACAGGTTATTAATATCTTTTTTTATTTTTTTATTAATTTTTTTTAAAACAGAGAAGTCTTCTGTCTTAAAAAATCTATTTATTTATTTTAATATAATTTTATTTAAGATTAAGAAGAGATGCAAGTAAGAAAAATATATTTATTATTATATTTAATAATATTTTTTATATTATCCAGTTATTTAAAGAAATCTGAAAAAAATCAAGTATATAAAAATTATATATCTAGATAATATATATTTATTTAATATAATTAACTCAGCTAATGGCCTGCTTAATAATCGCACAGGTAAGAGCCATATTAAATAGATAAATATTATAATAATACTACTGGAGATTAAGTCCTGCAGAATTTATAAAATATAATATAATAAGAATTATATAATAGTTTTAATAAATATTAAATTTATTAATTATTTTATTATATTCTTTGTAGTCTATATCTGAATAAAGTATTATGCTATCAAAACTAGCAGCTTTTAATATTATATAAATATATATTTTTTTATCTGGAAAGAAGATCTAAATGAGTATCTTTTTCTTGTACAGAAATATTTAATTATATAGAATCTGTATTATTAAATATATTTTTGGGGAGCTCTTGAGTATTCTAATAAATTAATAAATAATAATCTAGAAATAATCTATATTCTGATTCTCTGCCATTTCCAGAGATTTTATAAATTTATAATAAAAAGCTTTAATATTATCTTTTTTAGCCATGACCTGCTTATTTTCAAGTATCTTGAGAAATATCAGAATTAGAATTTCTTTTTTTATTATATTAATATATTTTCTAATATCTTTAACTATAATAAAAGATTTTAATATAATAAAGTTAAGCTATGATACTTCTAAGATTAATTAATATAGATTTTATATTATTTATCTAAATCTTGGAGTGCTTGGATTACGGTTATCTAGTATTAGAATTTTTCTATTTTTATTTTAATAAATAATATATATATATTTTTTTTTAATAAATAGGACTTCGAAAACCTTCTTAATAATAAATAAGATATTATATTTAATAATTTAATTTAAATTAATTAATATTACCAAGGTTATACTTCTCCTGATTATCAGATATTTAAATAAATATCTTATTTAAATAATATTAGTTTAGTTATTAATCACCTGCGGGAGAATATGTTTGTGGAAAAAGTCTAATAATAATAAATATTTATCTTAAAAAATAAATATCTCAGAACTCTAGTTTAATAAAATTATTTTATTAAATAATAACAGTTAGGAGTAGCCCAAGAAGTCTGTATTATAAATATTAAAAAATAGTATAATAATTATAAAAAGATTAAAAATATCTTATAATTAACAGATTACAAGTAATATACCCGAGTTTATATTATATAAATAATAGACTTTATTAATTATAACTAAGTTAAAACACTTGCTCAGCTTAAAGAAATAGTTAAATAGAATATAATTAATAATCTTATATTTATTTAAATATTTCTTCTTATATTATTAAAAGACTGCT